TTCTGCACCCAGCCTGGGATGAATGGCTCTGTGCAGGCCCTCAGGTGGTACATATGACCTACAGTCACCTGGCCTGGATTAGAAACCTTTCCATCCTGGCAGCCACTCTGCTGATAGAGCCCTTAGGAGGCCGGAGTCAGTGCCATACCACTATGAGGCTTTTTAGAGTGAGATTTGAAATCTATTCGAGGAATTAACTATTGAAGGAATCTTCATGTAAGACAAAGAAACTTCCTGCAAAACAGTCCTCTCATCTCCCATAAATATGGATTGGCTTAAAATGAGGTTTGCTTTGCAACCCACAAGGAAGGCTCTGTGGCCAAGGGTCCTTAGCCTGGGATCTGATCGTGGTTTTTCGTTTGGTTTGTTTTTTAAATAATATTTTTATTTATTTCATTAAATATTTTCCAATTACATTTCAAAAAATTTTTAACATTCTTTTTTTTTTGGAGGCAGTTTTTATTTCTTTAAAATAGTATTTTTTTTCCCACAATTACAAATCAAGAAAACTTTTAACATTCATTTTTAAAAATTTTCAGTTCCAAATTCCCTCCCTCCAGCCCCTTCCCCACCCATTGAGAAGGCAAGCAATATGATGTTGATTATATATGTAAAGTGTGTACTTGTTTTTTTAAATAATTTTAGTAATTGTACTTCAATATAATTTGTTTCCTATGTAACTGGTTATACATTTAAAAACATCTGGGCATCATGGCCACAGGCCTGTAATTCCTGATACAAGGGAGACTGAGGCCAGTGGCTCTCTTGAGCTCAGGAGTTCTAAGATGCAGTGGTCTGGCCCAGTTGGGCATTCCACTAAGTTCAACATTAATTTGTTGAACCGCCAGAAGTAGGAGGCTACCAGATTGGCTAAGGAGGGTCAAAGTGGTACAGGTGGGAAACAGAGTGGGTCTAAGCTCTAATGACAATCAGTGTGGGATGAGGGCAGTGACTCTCTTTTAAACCTAGCAGAGTTTTGAAAGACCTAATCTTTTAAAAAAACAAAACAAAACATTATTCTGAGAAAAGATCAGTAGGCTTCACCAGATTGCCAAAGGGTTCTGTGACACAAAGTTAAGAATCCCCTGATCTATGGTGAATGTAGGTTGGTGTACCTGATTTTTGAGGTGGTTTCATTGCAGGCTTTCCCCCTGCTGACTTTTAACCACTGACTCACCTCCTCTGTTTGGTTTCTTATTGGGAAGCATTAGACAGAATATAAACTCATTGAGGGCAGACAGCTTCATTCTTGTCTACATATCCTCAGCCTGGCACGTAGTAGACATTTAAATGCTTATTGATGGACAGACATTTGACCCTCTGCCAGTATTCTGGTCCTCCAAATCTCAAGCTGCTCTATCCACAGGGTCTCTCGGGGGCCCTTTCCCCACTCACTGTCCCTGCCCTGACTTCCTCCTTCTTCCCAGAATCTTTGCTGCCTGCCTTCTGTAGCTGTCATGATGAGCCATCAGCAAATGATACTGGCCAATTGCTGCCATATAGTTTGTATTAGCCTTCATACCCCTTAGGTCCAGAAAGGGAATGTGTATAAAGAGGTTTCACAATTTGAAGACATGTGAATTTTTAGTAAACATTTTGTTACCTTTGTTTTAGGGTGGGGGTGGTGTTAGGTCTGGCTTATGGCATACGGAGAAAAACTAAGGCACGCTGAATAAGTTGACATTGGGGCTTGGCTATGTGCTCTTTAATCCAGTGACACTGGCCTTCTGGCTGTTCCATGAACAAGACAATCCATCTCTCAGCTCCAGGCGTTGTCTCCAGCAGTCCACCATGCCTAAAATGTTCCTCCTCCTCCCTCCTCTCTCCCTCCTCCCTCTTCCTTCCTCCCTCCCTCCTCCCTTGCTTCCTTTGTGTGCCAACTAAAATCTTGCCTTTTACTGGAAGCCTTCCCCAAACCCTATAAAGTCTAGTGTCTTCCCTCTCAGTTATTTCCTCTTTACCCTGTATGTAGCTTGCTTTGTATGTATTTGTTTGCATGTTGTCTCCCCCATTGGACTGTAAGCTCCTTGAGGGCAGGGCCTGCCTTTTGCCTCTTAATCAATCCCCAGCATTTAGCATAGTGCCTTGGGCACAGGGTTGCTGTTGTTCAGTCATGTCCAACTCTTTGTGACCCTATATGTGATTTTCTTGGCAAAGATACTGCAGTGGTTTGCTGTTTCCTTCTCCAATGGATTAAGGCACACAGAGGTTAGGTGATTGCTCAGGGTCACACAGCTAGTGAGTGTCTGAGGTCAGATTTGAACTCGAGTCTTCTTGGCTCCAGGCCCGGCACTCTATCCACTGAGCCACCTAGCTGCTTCCTGGCACACATAGCCACATAATAAATGTTGATTGATTGATTGATTGACTGATTCCTATGCTTATGATGGTGTGCTATCCCACTGCACAGTCACACATTTGGAGTGGGAAGGGGGCTTTGCAGATCATCTAGTCCAAACTTTTTCATTTTAAAGATGAGGAAAGAGAGGCCCAGAGAGGTTAAGCAGCTTGCCTAACTAAGGTCACACCAGCAGCTAAGAGGCATAGCGCACAGAGCACTGGACCTGCAGTCAGCAATACCTGAGTTCAAATCCTACCTCAGACCCTTATTAGCTGTGTGACTATAGACAAACTCGTGTAGCCTCTGTCTGCCTCAGTTTCCTTATCTGTAAAATGGAAATAATAATAACAGCACCTCCCTCCCAAGGTTGTTGTGAGGATCAAATTTGTGGAGAGCTTTGCAAATCTGTATAAATGCTAGCTAAGGAACTGAGCTTGGATTGGAATTGAGGGCCTCCAGTTCCAAACGCAGTGTTCTTTCTACCCTACCACACTCCCTTTCATACTTTCAATTAACTGACTGCCTCCCTCCTGCCTATCTTTCTCCCCCTGCCCCCCTACCCTGAAAAAAATCTATATTTGTCTTCTTCTGTTTGGGAAGGATGGAATGACTTGGGGAGCTTGTTTCTCCACCAGGGCGTTGTACTATGTGTCTTGCTTCCCCCCATAACACAATGCAATCCTCTCTTCACTTTTATTTTTCTCATGTACTCTAAGATGTAACCCACGATCCCTCCCGCCTGGGATGTACCATCTCCTTCACAAAGGCTCTTTGTCAGAGAAGACACAGAGTTCTCTGATCTCCCTGCATCATATGTACTGTATTAAACCACTCGAGAAGCAAGATTACCCTCTGCTTGCCCCTCCGTGTACCACTTGGCATCCCCCTACCCTCCCAGATGTCACCCCATCGGGAAGGCTTGGTGCCCCCACGGAGAGCTGTTGCCTTCCCAGGGATGGGAGATAATGACTTTCTTCCAGAGCGTTTTGTTTTGTTTTGTTTTAGTTTAATTATCATGGAAATACCTCCCTGGGTATCTGTGGAGCCATTCTCTGGGGAACTTGAAGTGCCGCTCCCACAAACAGCCTCTCATTCGCTTGTGCTCACCCAGGCTGGGGAGGTAGGCTTGAGGGCCAGGGACGGGCAGTGGATTTGTCAAGGAGCCAGCTGAGGCTATGCGGTTTAATAGATGGCCTAAGATGAAGATGAAAACCCGTCCCTTCTCCCCTCTTCTCTACCTGTTCCCCATCATTGGCACAATTCTAGGAATCTTCCTTGCTTTCGATTGAGTACTCCTCCCCTCAAGTTATTAGTGCCCCCAGCCCTAACTTACAGTTAATCTAGCTGAGCCCCAGAGGTACCAAAGTAACCTCCTTGTGGGGCAGGGACTGTGTCATTGTGCCCCAGCAAGAGCACAGGTGTCTAGCTGGTTTAGCGAGTGTTTAATAAATGCTTGTCAAGTCTGTTGACAGTGTGACCTCAACCTCTCGCCATGATGAACACCCAGAAGTAAAGGGATTGAAGAATTCAGGGTCCTGAAAATTTAGGAATGCTATAGAAAGAAGGAAAGGAAGGAAAGAGGGATAGAGGGGGGAAGAATGGGAAGGAGGGAGGGAGGGAGGGGAAAAGGAAGGTTGGTTCAGATACTTAGCAAAAATTGTATGTGCTTTACATATTTTTTTTTAATTATCTGTGTATGTGTTGTTTTATCCCAATAGAATGTAAGCTCCTTGAGGGCAGGCACTCTTCTGGGTTTTTTTGTCTTTGTATTCCCCCGTGCCAGATCTGCCAGATCCATAGCAGGTGCTTGTTGAATTAAATTTCTCTGGTTCAACCTCACTGGGAAGAAGCCTGGCATAATGGAAAGAATGCTGGATTTAAGGGGCAGCCAGGTGGCACAGTGGATAGAGCGCTGGCCCTGGATTCAAGTGGACCTGAGTTCAAATCCGGCTTCAGACACATAACACTTACTACCTGTGTGACCTTGGGCAAGTCACTTAACCCCATTGCCTAGACAAATATCTATATCTATATCTATCTATCTATCTGTCTATCTATCTATATATATATATATACATACACACATATATGTAAAAGAATGCTGGATTTAGAGTTATAGTACCTTGGTTCAGATCCCAACAGTGCCACTACACCTGATTGACGCTGGACAAATCACTTAACTTCTCTTGGCCTCAGTTTCCTCATCTGTGAAGTGAGGACCGGAAAGATGATCTTGGAGCTCCGTTCTAATTCTAAACCTGCTTTTGTTGTTTCTGCAATGAAGATAGATGCTGCCGGTTCTGGAGAGAGAATCTATAGAAATTCCCCCACCCAGCCCTGTGTAGTTCTGAGCATGTCCCAAGGGCAATAAGTGTGTATGTGTTAACTCCTCTGGATTTTAAAATTTGTGCTGTTGGGGCAGCTAGGTGGCGCAGCGGATAGAGTACCAGCCCTGAAATCAGGAGGACCTGAGTTCAAATCCAGCCTCAGACCAAACACTTGACACTTACTAGCTGTGTGACCCTGGGCAAGTCACTTAACACCAATTGCCTAAAAATTAAAAAAAATCTCTGCTGTCACATGTGGTTAGGTGAAGGGCCAGGGCTTTGTCAAAGTTGACCCTCTCCACTGATCTCCATCTCTTTCTGTCTCTCTCCAGGTTGTCACGACCGGGCAGTCCTGCTCTACGAGTATGTAGGGAAGAGAATTGTGGATCTGCAGCACACAGAAGTCCCTGATGCCTATCGAGGGAGGGGAATAGCCAAACACTTAGCTAAGGTACCGTCAACTCTGCCTTCCAGACTACCTTGGGGAGTGATACTGGCAAGGTCATCTTTTTTGGAGGGGAGAATTTGGACGTGGCTCAGGAGAGGGGACAATACGATAGAATCCCAGGATGTTGGCGATTAGGTGAACCACCGAAATCATCTCCCTTGGTTTTACAGATGAGGAAACTGAGCCCCCTTGAGAGAAAGTCATTTGTCCAGGCTAGCAAGTGGCAGAGCAGGGATTCAAATTCTGATTTTTTTTTTTATTCTAAGCCCAGAGCTCTTGGTAATCTGACTTTTTTTTTCCATGCTAGATTTCACCTCGCTTACAAGTTTTCTTTGTTATTCAGAACGTACTTCTCTTTTTTTTTTCTGGCCCAAGTGTACTTTTAATTCCTATTTTTAAAAATAGTAACTAAAATTATATATTTTGTTTTCAAAAAAAAGGAGGTAGAGGATAAGTAATTCAACAAAACCAACCAACACATAACTTGAGTCTGATTGTGTTTGTCTGTATACATAGAGGTATATCTATCCATCTATCTATATGTACTATTCCACACCCTTAGTCTCCCACCTCTCCAAAAAAGAAAGGAAGATACATTTTTCTCATATCTTTTCCAGGATCAAGCTTCTTAGGGCATAAAACAGTGATTTTTTTTTTAATTCATCCTTTTGTATTTCATGAAGGTTAATGTTCAGACTGAAATGGCCACTTTCAAAATCCTCCATCAGAAATAATTGATGACCGTGGGCAGTAATTTTATGCTACTGCTGGGTGGGTGGTTTAGAATAACTATAATAGTTTCTATGTGGTTTCTTCTATTTCCTTTTCAGACTAGGTTGGGAAGTCCTATAGGTAAGGGTCAAGGTGGAAAAGAGGTTTTAAGTAGATTGTAAGCTCTTAGAGGTGAAGGATGATTTTATTTTTTACTTTGTATTCCCAGCACATAGTGCAGTGCCCAGCCCAAGAGTAGAGGCTTCATAAATGCTTATTGGTTGGTTGGTTGCTTGATTGATTGTCTGTTGCCATTCAGACCTCAGCCTGTGGCCAAGGTGAAGTGTTATGGGCAGTTGAGCAGTTTAGGATCCTAAAGCTTGAGTGATCCCACCCCTAAAAGTACTTAAGAGAAAAACAAAATAAAATCTAATTTTTAAAAAAGTCTTTGCAACAAATGTCAGAGCCCCAGAGCATTTGCCATACTTGTGTTGAAGTACTGAGAGGCACCGAAGTTACTAGTCCCCAGAACCATCCTGAAGTTGTGAGGGATGGATTGCCTTAACTAGTCTTAGAACCAAATGTCATGACCTGAAGGGTTTATTTTCATTTTCATTTTTTGGAGGCCCAGGGTCACACAGCTAGTGAGGCTGGATTTGAACTCGGGTCCTCCTGACTCCAGGGTCAGTGTTCTATCCCCTGTGCCACCTAGCTGCCCCTTGAAGGATTTAGATGGGAAAATCAGTCTGAGGCAACCCAGCTCTTTAGGACTTAGGGTTCACGTAGATGATGGGCTTTCTTTGACAGGTTATGGGTGACAAAAGATGAAGCCAGAACCTTGCCCCAAAGCCCCCTCTGATTCAGGCAGCAGAGCTGTGGATGTCAAATAGCTCTGCCTGCAGGCCTTTGCATGAAGAGCAAACCAGTTAACAAAGGCAGTGGCCCAAACTGACCTGTCCAGGATAGAGCCACCCTGCCCACCTTGAGAGCATCAGTACTCCATTCTGGGAGAAGCATTTGGCACATACAGAGAAGGAGAACTTTCCACAGTGACTAGCTGGTCTGCTGCCATCTGTGTCCAAAACAAAACTTGAGTCCTGCTTTGGAAACCCAAGCTCCATGACAAATTAGAGGGAAATCAGTCTTAGAGGCATAACTTTGAGAGTGGATAACATGGAGGTTAGCCCTAACTCCATTTAGGGTAGGTGAAATGTGGTGGTGGTGGTAACCAGATCCTGGCTGGTATGTTCCTTTCTGTCTGTGAGTTGCTAAGAAGGGATAAGAATGTATGAAACATTTGACTTCTCTTCCCCAGATCCTTCTGCTTTCTCTACTGTTTCTTATCTGCCATTAGGTGAGATATTTGCAAATCATTCAACTTTATTTCTTGAGTGACTCTTCCCCTCACCTGCCCCCCCCACCATCTTTTTTCTCTTTAAATAATTTTTCTATTCTCCCTTTTCTCTCTCAAGATAGAAGGGAATAGGAGCAGCTAGGTGGCACGGTGGATAGAGTTCTGGCCTTGGAGTCAAGAGGACTAGAGTTCAAATCCAGCCTCAGACACATAACACTCACTAGCTGTGTGACTCTGGGCAAGTCACTTAACCACAATTGCCTCACCCAGAAAAAAAAAAAACCAACCAAGATAGAGAATAAATGGATGGATGGATGCATGAAAATTCATTTATTAAACATTTACTCTGCACTAAGCAGTCAGTCAAGAAACATTTGCAAAATCCTGGTGATACAGATTTAAAAAAAAATGGTTCCTGTCTCAAAGAACTACTTTTTTTTCCTTTGTCATTGTATTTTATTATTTATTTTTTAATAATTTATTTTGAGTTATCAGCAATCACTTCCATAAGCTTTTGAGTTTTAAATTTTTCTCCCCCTTCCTCCCCAAGACGGCATGCAATCTGATAGAGGCTGTACATATACATTCCTATTAAACATATTTTCACATTAGTCATGTTGTAAAGAAGAATTAGAACCAATAGGAGGAACCACAAGAAAGAGAAAACAAAACAGAAGGAAAAAAAGAGAGCGAATAGTATGCTTTAATCTGCATTCAAACTCTATAGTTCTTTCTTTGGATGTGTGTAGCATTTTCCATCATGAGACTTTTAGAGATGTCTTAGATCCTTGCATTGCTGAGAAGAGCTAAGCCTATCGAAGTGAGTCATCACACAATGTGGCTGTTAATGCGTACAACATTCTCCTGGTTCTGCTCACTTCACTCAGCATCAGTCCATACAAATCTTTCTAGGTTTTTCTCGAAGTCTGCCTGCTCATCATTTCTTATAGCACAATAGTATTCCATTACATTCATATACCACAACTTGTTCAGCCATTCCCCAATTGATGGGCATCCCCTCCATTTCCAATTCTTGGCCACCACAAAAAGAGCTGCTATAAATATTTTTGTACATGTGAGTCCTTTTCCCATTTTTATGATCTCTTTGGGATATAGCCCTAGAAGTGTTATTGCTGGGTCAAGGGGTATACACAGTTTTAGAGCCCTTTGGGCATAGGAACTTACATTCTAATAGGAAGAGAAAACACCCATGGGAAAGTGGGTATCCAGGGAGGGTCACCTTTGGAAAGTTACTAGGGGCGGAGTTGGGGTGTGGGGTCACAGGGGAGTAGATTGGCACATTCCTTACAGGAACAATGGTAGAATTCATTTGACCATGGCAGGAAGAAGGTTGTTTGAAGACAAAGTGTTTAGTGAGATTGTCAAAGATAGCTGGGGATCAGAGAGCAAAATGAAGTATATTTGGAGCCTGCTTGAAAGAGTGGACCACAGAAGGCAGTCATCATTGAGGAGGTTTCAGAGATGAAAAACTGAAAACTTTCAGGGCATGGTCCCAGATCTGAAGTGGCCATGCAGTTGGAGATACTGCTGAGAAGATGACCAGGGAGGGGTATGGATATCCTCTCTCTAAATGTCAGTGAAATGAACAATGAACGAAGCATCAACTCTGCTTTATGGGGTAAGGAGTCAGAGTTTTCTGTTTCAGATATCAAACGCAGAGACTGAATTGCAGGTGGGCGGGGGTGAGAAGGACCAGGCATTGACTTGGGTGACACATGCCCCTCTGAATATATGTATGAGCTAAGTCTGACCTCATCCCAGCAACTACCAGAGGCCTTGTGTGTAATCTTATCTTCATGGGGCTGTTTGTCATTGTTCTCCACCAAATGCCTGAGACATGGTGTGAATGGAGAGGACGCTGGATTTGAAGTCATGAGACCTGGGTTCAAAATCTGACTCCATCACAAACTGAATTGTGTGACTGTGAATAAGTCACCTAATTGAGCCTCATTAAACTTTAAAAGCGCAAGAGAGTGCAAACTTTAAAGCGCAAGAGAGATGTTGACTCTTATTAAAAAGGAGATAATCCACCTCACTGGAGTGCTTTGAAGAAAGTGCTTTCAACCAAAAAGTGCTAACTATGTGCTTGGGGTGTGCTTAGCATAGTGCCTGGCACATAGTAGGTGTTTGATACATGTTTATTGACTGACTGACTGACTGGTGGTATTACTGTCACCCCTTTCTTTCAATCTCCTCCCGGTGGGAACGGCCCCTCAGATCTGGGTTGATTTGCTTCGTTACTGTAACTGTGCTGGAAGACATCACAGGTTTAGCCCTTTAAGTCCTGCCTTGAGAGGAGACCGACACATACACCTGATGGCTCTTCTCTCTCTAGAGGAAGAGGTTTCAACTTTTCTTTAGCTTATAAAGAATTTTTACTGAAGCCTTCAAGGTGAGTTGCTCCTTGGAGAGGCATGGTGGCCAGAGTCGGGAAGACCTGGGTTCAAGTCCTGACTTGGATACTTAGGCAAATCACTTAACCGCTTTTGGCCTCAGTTTCTTCATAGGTGGGATAATAATACCTGTAGCACATGGAGTAGTTGTGGAACTCAAATTTGAATGCAGAATGTGTCATTATTATTGCCGAGTTTGAATCCAGCCTCTCTCTGTCCCTACCAGTGCTGTCTTGGTAAAAATCACTGCACCTGTTTGGGTCTCAGTTTCCTCATTTGTAAAATGAAGGGAATGGACTAGATGACCTCTATGGTCCCTTCCAGCTCTCCATGTCCAGGGGGTCAAAAGTCTCAGTGCAGTGTTAAACCATTAAAGCTTAAAACTGCACTAATAATAATAATTGCTAACACTTATACGATACTGTGCACCACCCACTTTTAAAAATATTATCTCACAAAAAAAAAAAAAAAACCAAGTGGGGGCAGCTGGGTGGCATAGTAGATAGAGCACCAGCCTGGATTCA